AGAGCCTCTGTCTAACATAACTTGACACAGAGCTCTCACACAGAGCCTCTGTCTAACATGATACATAGCTCTTGTGTAGAGTTTCACTATAACATAACTTGATACGAAGCTCTCATGCAGAGCTTCTGGCTAGCATGACACAAAGCTCTCATGCAGAGCTTCTGTCTAACATACTTGATACAGAGCTCTTATGCAGAGCTTCTATGTAGCATTCTCTAAAGTGGCTTCTAAGCAGGCTGCGATACTGTGCGTTTAACAATGAAATCTAATCCTTGAAATCGACTCCCAAAACACAAAGTCTGGACGTGAGCCTTCTAGGATTCTATACAGGGCCGAAGCCACGGCTAAACATTGTTTAAATCATAAATTTGGTCGAGTATTTACCTCTAAACGACGGGAAGCAGGGGGTTTTCCTTGCTGGTTTGAACTCCGGCTTCTCTCTTTCAAGCTCAACGATTCCCTTCTTCTCCCAAAAGAGTAACTACCTTAACCTGTTGCCCTTAATTTATACTCGCACGATTTGGCCTATTAGTTGACCAAATCGGCAGAATCCCGAGTTTGGGGCTGTGAGACTGTCTTCTGCAATCATGCAGGTCGCAGTTTCCCTTTATGGACTAGGCATCGCCTGATCCTCTGCTGCCTCTCCCATGCTGACAGCAGGCTCCCCCCCTCTAAATGGGGCCTTCAGCCCTTAGCCGCAAGTGAACAATTTGACTTATTTCAAATTTCAAATTTTTAGTTTAACATATATATATATATATATATGTATAAAAATAGAATAATAATAAAAATGCCTTATTTAATTCCTCGGATTTTTTTATTTTTTTTATGGGTTTTACAATCTTTTCCACAGTTACCCCTATAAGTTACATTTTGTATTAATTAATGAGTTTTTACAATTTAATAGTTGCTTGATTGTTGGGATTTTGATCATTTATTCAAATTGCACAATGTATTATCAAAAATAAAATTAATCTTGTTGAAAATGTTAATGAGTAAATAAATCACAAATAAACATTTTTGAAAATATGAATATTAATATACACAATGGATAAATTGTTAATCCAAGTGAACAAATCACATGTAAACATTTTTGAAGCGTATTGTTAATGTCGTTTTGGGTGATATGAACGGTATGGAAGAAAATATCACGAAATCACCGGTGAACATATTTCTATAAACTATAAGGGTACTCGTGCAATGCATCGAGACACATCTCGATTTCAGTGTTTCGTTTTATTCTATTTTTATATCGATATAATACGGTTTTATGTGGTTTTGATAATGCGATAATATTTTTATTTTTTAATAAAAAATAAATTTGAAAATATCATAAAATTTTGAAAAAATATATATTGACATCAGTATCAAATTAATCTTTTTAAAAATTCTTGTTTTGTGTGAAATTTTCTTAATTTAAATTTTTTATTATAATTTAATTTAGGTTTAGTAACAAAGTAATTTAATTTAAGTTTAATAATATAATTTTTTATAAAGATAGTAATCGAGTAGTCTGTTAGAACTCAATGATTATCTTAATTGTATTTTATATTT